CTTGGGAGGCTGAGGCAGGAGACTCGCTTGAGCCCAGGAGTTGGAGGCTGCTGTGAGCTGTGATGCCACAGCACTCTACCCAGGGGGACAGCTTGAGGCTCCGTCTCAAGAAAAAAAAAGGCTACAGACAAGTGAACCCTAATGATAGTTCAAGTTGTTCCTGCCCTGTGCATTCACACCTTCCAGGTCTCCGGCTCCCATACAAATCAGGGTGTTCGTGTAGGTACCAAGAGGAGCTGTTCAGCTCGACTCCAACTCCCAGACCTCAGTGAGTCTCTGCTCCGTTCCAGCCATGATTTTCCCCACACGTGCTTTGTTTTGGCCTTAAAACAACGCTGTGTTTGGTCAGTCTGTGGGTGAGTGATCTGAAGCTCAGAGAGATGTGATTAATTGGCCCAGTTAATTTGAACCTGATTTTACAATCCTTGATGATCTAGACAGGCGTTCTGGGTGTCAGGAATGAATGAATTCTCTTTGTGAACCAAATTCTACAAAGGGACCGACTGGCACCTGCCTTCTCATTATCCTTGTTTGGACCCTTGTATCAACTGAGGATTTCAGCTGCTGATGTGAAGGCTGCACCTGTAGGCCTCTGTGCAAATGTACAAAAAAGTTCAAAATGGGCTCAGTGCCTGTAGCACCGTGGTTATGGAGCTGACCACGTACACCAAAGCTGGCCGGTTTGAACCTGCTCTGGGCCAGCTAACAACAATGACAACTGCAACAGCAACGACGAAAAAAATAGCCGGGTGTTGTGGTGAGTGCCCGTAGTCTCAGCTACTTGGGAGGCTGAGGCAAGAGGATCACTTAAGCCCAAGAGTTGGAGGTTGCTATGAGCTGTGATGCCACAGCACTCTACCAAGGACCACATAGTGAGACTCTGTCTCAATTAAAAAAAAAAAATTCAAAATGGAGCGGCACTTGTGGCTCAAAGGAGTAGGTCACCGGCCCCATGTGCTGGCAGTGGAGAGTTCAAACCCAGCCCCGGCCAAAAACTGCAAAAAAAAAAGAAAAATTTCAAAATGTTTTGGATGGTTCTTAGACAAAGTCCTAAAAACAGACTTAATCAGCTACGTAATAACACTGTCTCTCTCCTCTTTCCATTCTACTCCAATTCTTTCGGTGACCTTGAGAAAAAAGTCTCCTCTTGATATTAACAGGCATTTATCACAGCGCTAACACTTGCTGATGTCTCTTCTCAACAATTATGTTTTATTTTAAAAAATTATGTTTTATTTATCACGTGTTTTAATAATTCTCTTTATAGCATGGATGTTGATTGTGTTTACTATAATGATAAGACATTTTCAAAAAATATATTTGAATAAAAAGTCAATTTAAAGAAAAATATCTAGTAAACCAGGTGATCCGTGGACAGGTAGAGAATTAGAAGATGGTGTTAAAGTCACAGAAGCATGAGCATTGCTCAAATGGACGCATTCCCAAAATGTCTAGAAACCTTTGCTGGGTAGTATCTCTTTAAAAGTAATCAATAGCTATTTATTTGGAACAGGCAATATTTATAATGCTTATTTTTAAAACAGCAGAAAAATCTGGAAATCTGAAACTGTAATAAACATCCAGGAAACGTCTGAACTCTCTCCCGTTCCTCTGGAATTCCCAGTGTCTCTGGAATACAGTGAACAGTCCATGGCCATGGAAGTCTCCAGACTCAGAAAGTCAAAGATAAAAAACTAGTCCTGTTACAACCAATGGGGACAGGAAAGAAGATTTGAGAACCTAGAAGAATTATTCTGAAATATTGGGAGAGTTTTCTCAGACTACTGTGGACAGTGTGTTGACTCCCAAAATTTTTAAAGGCAAGGCTTAAGGAAGTCTGGCTTTAAAAATATCGTTTGACTTTTTGCCTGTTCATAGTACTGAATAGCGTTCAGCTGGTCTTGGAGAAAAAGGAGGTCATTCCTTGGAAGGAGCACTCGCCACAGATTTCTTTTGAACGTGCTATAATTTACTGACAATTAGAGGCCTTTAGAAAGGCCAGGATTCTTTTCAGGGCCATTTTTGTACCTTCAGTATCGGAAGAAGATAAATGGAAATGAGTGGTCCAGGCTGAAGAGCTCATCTGGAGAGACGGCAAGTCTGCAAGTGAAGAAAGAAGTTCCAGGCTGGGCTCGGTGGCTCGCACATTCTGGGAGGCCAGGGCAGGTGGATTGCTTGAGCTCAGGAGTTCAAGACCAGTCTGAACAAGAGCAAGGGCCTATCTGTGAAGAAAAAGAAAGAAGTTGACACAGTCACCAAAATGTGTGTTTTAAGTCATCACAGTAGGAGATACATTTGACTCTTAAAACCATTTCCACCACATTCTAGCTATTTAACCTGAACAAGTAACTTCACCTCACCTCCCTGTGCCTCTGTTTCTTACTATGTAAAGGAAGATCTTAATACTTAACCATCTGGTGGGGGCTTTATTTTTTTTTTTTTTTGAGACAGAGCCTCAAGCTATCCCCCCTGGGTAGAGTGCTGTGGCATCACAGCTCACAGCAACCTCCAACTCCTGGGCTCAAGCGAGTCTCCTGCCTCAGCCTCCCAAGTAGCTGGGACTACAGGCACCCGCCACAACGCCCGGCTATTTTTTGGTGGCAGCCTTCATTGTTGTTTTGCTGGGTCTGGGCTGGATTCGAACCCACCACCTTAGGTGTATGTGGCTGGCGCCTTAGCCACTTGAGCCATAGGCACTGAGCCCTAGTGGGGGCTTTAAGTGAGATATCTGAGTGCAGAAGGTATATTTTAAGTATCACGTCCCTTCTTCTGGTCTCTCTGGACAGGATGTGGGGAGGTGGGACTGAGTAACACAGTGGATACAGCAAAGCACGTTTAACCTGGAGTCCAAGGAAAGAGGTGCAGGTGTATGAGCCCCGAAATTATTTGCCAAGTATTTTATGTTTATTTTTGGGTGGGAGGAGGGTCCAGATCCATCAAATAAGTCTCAAAGTGGTCTGTAACCACCACTGTCCCCTCAAAAGTTTAAGAACCACTGACGGAAAGATCCAAAGATAATCTCGAAAGTTGGAGCTCAGGCTCGGTGCCTGTAGCTCAGTGGTTAGGGCGCCGGCCACGTGCACCAAGGCTGGCAAGTTCAAACCCAACCCGGGCCTGCTAAACAACCATGACAACTGCAACCAAAAAAATAGCCAGGCATTGTGGCCATGCCTATAGTCCCAGTTACTTGGGAGGCTGAGGCAGGAGAATCGCTTAAGCCCAAGAGTTTGAGGTTGCTGTGAGCTGTGATGCCACAGCACTCTACTGAGGGTGACATAGTGAGACTCTGTCTCAAATAAAAGAAAGTTGGGGCTCAGCTAACTGGTAAAGCTATTAAGGCATTGACCTTTGCTAGAAGCAGGGTTGTTCCTCTACTTGGGAAGGATTGTATATGCCAGAATTACTCTGGAAAATGGAGCAGTGTTTAATCCGGACCTGTGAGACTCCAGCCCTGTAGCCTTCCATGAGCCAAGTTACACTTTGGCACAGTGAAACAGGCCCAGTTAGAGGGACGCTGGCCATGAGATGTGGTCAGGATAAGACTAAGGACTGTGCTTGTGGCAGCGCTGTGTTTGTTTATTGTGTGGTGACCAGAGTGGCCTTCTCTAAACTTATTCCCAGGGTTTTCCTGAACAACTCATTTGCTTTTATCTAACAGTAATTGTGCATCCAGATTAACTGTACATCCGTCTATATTCCGGCCACTAGAAAATGGCAAGTGTGTTGCTCACCTCTAGCCAGGACTCTGTGGTTCACATTTTCTGTAGCAACACCTCCCCTCTGTCTGTCTGTAGGCCGGCTGGGTCTATGTATTAATTTTCCCTTTGTTGCATTTTAGAACACATAATTTTTAACTTTTTAAATTGTTTCAGGTGAATTTGAAGGTGGAAAGAATTAGGTTACGGGGTTTGCATTTGTTAGGGAGAGTCTCTGTGGTAACTGTGTCCCACCCCAGGAGGTGTGCCACGCACCTCACATCAAGCCCATCGGTGGGAGGACACCCGTCTTCCTCCCTCCTCCCCTCTTCCCGCTCCTTCCTTCCCACCTCTCCCACCTTGAATGGATTGGAGTTTTTCTCTTGTGTGGACGTGCGTTCGATGGTCCACTGTGAAACACGCGATTTGTTCGTGCTGCTTGCGTATCCGTAAACCTCCTGCAAGTTCTTTTTCCAGCAGGTTTGCACACCCGACTCAACATCTGTGAATTGCACGGTAGGGCTGTTGTGTTAGCCAGTTAGCCCTTTGCTTTTATGTGACAGTTTGGGGGTAACATCTTAACCCTCACTTTTGTTTTTATCTCCCTTAGTCAGTTAAAGAGGACTCAGTCCCCACAGGTGCAGAGGAGAACGTAAGTTACGCATCAAACCACAGAATCATCCCACTGGCATCTTCCGCGGGTCCAGCCACTGCGCACTTTTGGTTCTGGGATCCTGAGTTCTTGCATGTCCCACGTGTTATCCATCTGCTGGAGACTCTTTCACTCTTCCATGCGATCAGGGACGGATGGGGAATCACCTTGCACACATTTGTGTAAACTCCCATTGAATCGATGCAAAATTCGAGCACATACTTTTATAACGTTGTCATTTAGGGGCTGAAAGAGTCTGCCACACATAAGAACAGCTTTGCGCTTCCTTAAGGGATAATGATGCTGCCTCTTCTGCTTCACTCTACCATGATCCATCATGCCCCTCTGTTTCTATGGTGACCCAGTTTCTTACTAACTCTGGGTGGTACCCGGGGCGGCTAGTTGCATCGGGCATCAGAATAGCCAGTCTCAGGTGGAGAGCTGACTCCGTGGGTCTGCACCTGAGCCAGATGGGTGAGCCTCACTGTCTTTTTGCCCTTTGATCTTCTGGGGAAATATAATCAAGAGTTTTGGGACACTATATTCATGTCTGAATGGACGGTGCTCTGTCAAGCATCACAAAAGTGCATCTTTCCAGAACATTTTCCAGGTTGATTAACAAAGAAGCCTCATGGGCTCAGCATCTGTGACTCAAACGGCTAAGGTGCCAGCCACATACACCTGAGCTGGAAGGTTCGAATCCAGCCCCGGCCCGCCAAACAACAATGATGGCTGCAACTAAAAAATAGCCGGGCGTTGTGGCAGGCACCTGTGGTCCCAGCTACTTGGGAGGCTGAGGCAGGAGACTCGCTTGAGCCCAGGAGTTGGAGATTGCTGTGAGCTATGATGTCACAGCACTCTACCCAGGGGGATAGCTTGAGACTCTGTCTCAAAAAAAAAAAAAAAAAAGAAGGTTCTCATGAATTTCAGACCCACAACAGCAGCTCTCTGCTCTGAAAAATTATATAAGGGGGGATAAATAAATTCACAGCTCCCTAAGATAGAGGTATATATCTATAAAATTTCTGTATGTGTGGCTGCTTCTGGGTGTCTCTAGTTTGCATGCCATGGGTAGGGCCAGTGTTTTCTTTTGTTTTTAGTGAGTGCAGCTGAACAGATGTTGACAATTTACACATGTTCCGGAAACGTTGTCCATGACATGGGATGAAAATGGGCATGACTGTGTTAGGGGTCTTAGTAGGAGGAAAATCTTTGAACTCTATTTCTTGTTTTAGTTGTGTTTCTTTTCTTCCCTTCTTCTCTCCCGTCCTTCTTCTTTCTTTGCTCCCTCCCTCCCTCCCTCCCTTCCTTCGTTCCTTTTTTGAGCCAAACTTAGTAGCTCAGCAAAGCTCAGGTGTCTCATTATTCCATAAAGTTCTCATGGATTACTGGTGTATTCTAGAGAGTCGAAGTCACTATTTCAGCAGCCTACAAAGAAGAAGTCCCTGGGTCTTCTTCCCATGAACTTGAAATTTTAATACTGTGGATAAAATGAGCCAGGGCTCCTGCAGCGGAGAGCCAACATGGTTAATGTCACACCTACTCTCATTCTGTTCACTAGAGCAAGTCACACAGCAAAGGACAGAGTGTGATTCTTTTACAGAGAGATGGAATAAGTAATTGGGGAAACAATGGGATTATGCTTCATAGTAAAATGATTCAGCTCACAGATGATTCAGTTGACGGACTGTGTCAAACTGAGTTAGTTTAATTTCCTCCTCCCAAATAAGAGAGATAACCCTAGTCAAAACTATCTATTGGCTCGGCGCCTGTGGCTCAAGTGGCTAAGGCGCCAACCACATACACCTAAGGTAGTGGGTTTGAATCCAGCCCAGGCCCACCAAAAACAACAATGATGGCTGCAACCAAAAAAATAGCCAGGCGTTTTTGTGGCAGGTGCCTGTGGTCCCAGCTACTTGGGAGGCTGAGGCAGGAGACTCACTTGAACCCAGGAGTTGGAGGTTGCTGTGAGCGTGATGCCATGGCACTCTACCCAGGGGGATAGCTTGAGGCTCTGTCTCAAAAAAAAAAACAAAAAACTATCTATCATATTGGGGCGGTGCCTGTGGCTCAAGGAGTAGGGTGCTGGCCCCATATGCTGGAAGTGGTGGGTTCTAACCCAGCCCCAGCCAAAAAAAACATCTATCATATTCTAAATCTTCACAACAGGACAATGAGACGCGATTAACCATATGACAACAGTGCTTTACTAGTGACTTCTTCTGACTAAAATAAGGCCAAATGTATTGTTTTTTAAGTTTTTCTACCTACAACTTTCCACCTACAACTAAACCAACTCAACCAACGTACTGCCCACCTGTGTTTTACAAAACAAAGGACAAAGGGCTTTCGACATTTCTCAAAGTTTTTTGTAAAAAGAAACATAAGAAGGCTTTTGAAGCCCCTGGAAATTTAGTCCTTTCCCTAGAATGTGCCTCTAGTCCTATAGCAATAAATTTATCTTGATTAGAGAAAGAAGAGAATCCTTTGGCTGTAATCTATTTGACCCTTGGTTAGCTGAGTTCATGTTCTCAAAAAAGAAAGATCTTTCCTTCCAATGACCTATCAGACCCAGGAGATAGGGACTTCTGTCGTTTATCTCTCTTAGTAGGTAACTTCTCAGTCGCAGGTGAAAGGAACCCAACTCAACCCAGATTGAAAAGAAAATGAAATGTGTGGGTTCTCATTTTTAAAACATAGAACTCGTTTCAAATGGAGTTTGATTTGAGGCTCTGCCTTGGCTGAGCCCTGTGGGCCTGGCCACCTTTTCAGCATTCCAGCATCACATCACTGAGCCCAGCGCAGAGAGATTGTTCCAGGAGCAATCCTTCACGTCCTGGGATTCGTTCTCTGCCATTGGCTCAAACGCAGAGAAAAGCAAAAGCCCTAGTGGTCAGCTTTTGCCAGGTTATGCTGCAATAACAACCAAGCCCCTCAGTTCAGTGGCTCTCAATGGCAAAGAGTTGTTTTGTTTTTTCCATTAGTCAGCTGCACATGGGCTGTGGCTTACCCATGAGGTATCTTCCTGCTGATATCTAGAGAAAAGAGGCTGTCCCATCAACAGCGACATTCAGTTTTAGCTGCAGAAAGGAAACAGTGTCATGGTGAACCACGAGATGGCTCCCACAGCTTATAGCCAGTCATTATCACACCCAGGCACATGCCATTCACTAGAGCTAGTCGTACAGCAAAGGACACAGTCTGTAATTCCTTTACAGGAAGGTGGAGTAAGTAATTGAGGACATAGTGCCTCGTGCCACTTACTGCCATCACTGAACCAGCACCATCAAGGAGCTGTGTTGAGTGGTTCAGAACTTTTTTGATTGCCTTCATCCCATCACATCGTTCTTGAAGTTGGGAGGATTGTTCCCCGCCCAAGCAAAACTGGAGTATGTAAGCAGATGAGGGAGAATAAGTACCAAACAGAATAAAAAATCTCAGGAAATTCTTTGTAATCAAATGATCACACTATAAATTCAATAAAAATAATTTTACAAGATTCTAAAATAAAAATCTTTAGTATTGATATTCTTACGTTGTGAGTAAAGTGTAAGTGGAGGAAATGTATTTTGGTAAAAATGAGTTTCCAAAACTCACAACTCTAGTCAAAACTATATAATCCAAATTTTAAGGGTAAATAATGGTATAATTTTTTTTTTTTTTTTTGCAGTTTTTGGCCGGGGCTGGGTTTGAACCCACCACCTCCGGCATATGGGGCCGGCGCCCTACTCCATTGAGCCAAGGCACTGCCCATAATGGTACAAAATTTGAGGCAAAAAGTGGACCACTTTACTGAGATGTATTTTTTGTGTATTAAACACACAAGCCACCTTTATGGAATGCATATCCTATCACCTACTAAAATCAAGTAATGAGAATTTAATTATATTAATAAAATATAGCATAAATCTGATTTTAATAATGTCTGTCATCCCCCAAATTAAAATGTGAAGATTCAGTCATACATTCTAAATAGGGAAAACTTTCTCCAAAGCCTTGGCCTGGAAGGAAATTGGAAAAATATCCAAATAAAAATTGAATTCTTATGTCCACATATGCAAATCATACCCTTACTCAGCCCAGATTTTTCTGGATTTCCATACTGAGTATTAGTGGATTCTCCTTGACCAGTTTCTCAGCCTGACTTTAACCTAATGGAAGTGTCTCTCTCTCTCTCTTTTTTTAACCTAGTAGAATGGTTGTATCTTAGAACTTATGGCTTAGAATTTATAAGTTGACACCTCTCAACATTTAGAAAATCCCAGCAAGGGAACCATTAGCATTTAAATAAAGTTGATTTACAAAGTTACTGCCATACAATCTGACCATTTTATTATATGAATAATTTTCCCTCCTGGCCTTTGCACACATGCAAGAAAGAACTCACTTCTTCAAAGAGAGTATAGTTCTGAACTCAGGGTCCCCAAGTCAAACTCTCTTCATTACCTACTTCAGGGCCATTCTCTATCCCCCCCCCCCACTTTCTACCCTTGAGCTTAGACAAGATTGGCAACTGTCATACCCCCAAAGTATTTGATTGTGATTGCTTGGGTGATAGGTCAGTATTTTATTTTCTTTACCCATAATCAGCTAAGGGGTAAGGATGTAACCTACTCCTGACCAGTGAAACTTATGTGCTCTGAGCTGGAGGATCAAAATACAGAAGTTCATTTGAAGCACATCTTTTGCTGTGACCTTCCTGTCTTCTCAGGACACTGCGGTGAGGATGTGATGTCTGGAACTGTGGCAGCTACTTTGTTACTAGGAGGTAATCAGGAAAAAGAAATCCAGGGTACCAAGAATGGCAGAGCCAAAGAATAGAAAGAACCAAAGTCCTCTGACACTTGTAAAGCCACAGAACCACCCCCAGAATTTCCTGCTATTAAATTTGTCTCCTGTTTGGTTGATTAAACCACTAAGAAAGGCCATACATGGTGGCCCGTGCCTGTAATCCCAGCACTCTGGGATACTGAGGTGAGTAGATTGCTTGAGCTCAGGAGTTTGAGACCAGCCTGAACAAGAGCAAGAGCAAGACCCCATCTCTACTAAAAACAGAAAAACTTGCCAGATGTAGTGGTGAGCACCTGTAGTCCCAGCTACTTGGTGGGGGGAAGGCTGAGGCAAGAGGATCATTTGAACCCAAGAGTTTGAGGTTACTGTGAACTATGATGACATGATAGCATTCTATCAAGGGCAACAAAGGGAGACTCTATCTAAAAAAAAACAAACAAACTAGAAAATATTCGTTTACTCACAGCAAACGCCATCCTTGCTGCAAGGGCTACTTGCCCATAGTGTGACTTTGGCCAAAGCATTCAACCATTCAGACTTTTCACCTATAGATCAGAAATAATGTTATCTTTCCTGAGCTGTCTTGGTAACTATTTCTTGAGGTTATATCCAGGGTGGCTACCAAGTCTGTTTGCAATTTTATTTTATTTTATTTTATTTATTTATTTTTGCAACAGAGCCTCAAGCTGTCCCCTTGGGTAGAATGCCATGGCATCACAGCTCATAGCAACCTCCAACTCCTGGGCTCAAGCGAGTCTCCTGACTCCGCCTCCCAAGTAGCTGGGACCACAGGTGCCCGCCACAACACCCGGCTATTCTTTTGGTTGCAGCTGTCATTGTTGTTTGGTGGGCCCGGGCTGGATTCGAACCCGCCACCTTAGGTGTATGTGGCTGGCGCCTTAGCCACTTGAGCCACAGGCCCCAAGCCCTGTCTGCAATTTTAAATTGCACATGAACTTTATGGCCACTCTCTGCTTTGAAAAAATACATACCTTGCACAATGCCAGGCATAGTAGAAAGAAGTCGTTACGAATGGAATCATCTGTAAATAATAGACCAGTGCACAGTGGGTGAACCCAGATAATTCATGTTCATTAATAGCCTAATATTAACACAAATAACAACCACTAATAATATGCATTAAGCACTTGCTATGTGTCTGACACAGTTCTAAGAGCTTTACATGTGTCACTGATTCAGTCCTTGCAACAGCTTCCTCATGTGTACACCACCCGCATAGAGAGCACAGAGGTGGTCGGCATCGACCTTCAATTAGCAAAGACCAGAAGGACGAAAGACAAGACTTAGACCCTGCAGGTTGCTTTAGATCCCACGTTCTATGCCTACACTTCAAAGGCTCTTGTGGCTGGTGCTTATTTTTCAGAAATACACCTGAATCAGACCAGCTTCACACGTAGAGACCTGGTCCACAGCTGACTGCCAATCCCAGTCCTTTCGTTTGCTCCAGTTGCAGCCTGGTTTCCCAAAGACAGAGCAAAGTCCAAAACCAGCAGCCCAGCAGAGGAAGCTTACTCACAATCCTATCTTGTTCGGCCACTCCAGCATTTTCATTCTGTTATGTCCTGCCATCTTTCCCACCATTCTCTTATCTCATATCTGGTCCATTCGTGTCAATACCACCTGCCTTGCCTCCTGGAGACTTTTGAGTTTTTAACTTCCCAAAGCCGATCTTAGTTTACAAAAAGAAAAAGAAATACTAGAAATCCTATCAGTATTTTAAGATATGGAAGGCGGGGGATATACTACTGTGATTTAGTTGCCAAATTCCAGGGTGTTCTGAGTGTTGATTTGTGGATGGGCCTCTCCCCGCATCAGCTGGCAATATAGAAACTAAGGGTTGTTCTTGATGGGGAAAATTTGGGTCATTGGCAAACCAATGGTTTATTCCGTAAGGAAGAAAGGAAAATGGTGCCTCCACGAGCATACTGTATCTTTAGAAATAATTAAGTCCCCTTTCCAAGCCCTTGACATTGAGAACACAGCTTTGAAGAAGCAGGGGGTCTTCTACCAGCAAAGACAAGTGCAGGGAGGCCTTTGTAAGTTCTTTCCTTAGCAGCCAGGAATAAAAAACTTGTATAAAAGGCTAGACAGTAAATATTTTAGGCTGGGTAGGTCGTTTATGGTCTACATCCTGTATTCCTCATCTTTTAAAACATTTGTTAAAACCCTTTCAAAATATAAAAACCGGCTCAGCGCCTGTGGCTCAAGCGGCTAAGGCGCCAGCCACATACACCTAAGGTGGCAGGTTCGAATCCCCAGCCTGGGCCCACCAAACAACGATGGCTGCAACCAAAAAATGGCCAGGCGTTGTGGCGGGCGCCTGTAGTCCCAGCTACTTGGGAGGCTGAGGCAGGAGACTCGCTTGAGCCCAGGAGTTGGAGGTTGCTGTGAGCTGTGATGCCATGGCACTCTACCCAGGGGGATAGCTTGAGGCTCTGTCTCAAAAAAAAAGAAAAGAAATATAAAAACCATTCTTAGCCCAGGTGCCACAGAGAACCGGGCATCCACCAGACTGGACATGGTAGCTTTGCCAAACCCCGAATGAGGAAACAGAGGACATTATTAAACCCTCTTCTGGACAACTCACTCTGTCTTGTCGCAGGGACCATTGCAAATGTAGAAGCTGTCCCAAATAGGACGGGCCCCTGCATGGCCAGGGGAGGGGCACAAAATAAGCAGAGCTGGGCTCAGGTGCAGGGCGGCCAGCCTTCCATCCACACCCCCGCTCACCCTCCCTGCTCCCCACAGACATTCAGTGAACACAGAGTTCACTGGGAGCTGGGCCAGGGGACGTACACAACTTGGCCGTTGTTTTGTTTTTACCAAGTTCATTTCTCTTCTGAATGCGTGAACTTCAGCTGAGTACTAATGACAAGTGACTGGTCTGGGGAGAGGTGAGGAAGGAGTTAATGAGGAAGGCCAGCCCTTTGAATGGAGTGGTGTCCCCCCCACCTGTGCTCCTTCCTGCAGAGAAGACAGTTTTTCCTCAGTTGCAGGGGAACTTGGGTGTGGACTGGAGGTGTCATGGCTACTCTCTCTAAGACTCAACTCTTAAGAAAATGATCATTCCTGATTTCTACACAGGCCAGGTATAATTCATCTTTGGGGTGGACCAAATTGGTGGGCTTCCTGGGAGGGGAGGGTAGAAGAGACGTCCTCCACGTGCCTGCACCTTGCCGCCCTTCCACCCTAATTTGGCAGCTGTTCAGAAATTGGCTGTTTAGGAGCACGTGACTCAACAGGAGTGTTTCTTCTGGAATAGGGGCCTGTGTAGAAATGGTCGTAGAGTCAAACCTATGGGTGCTATGCGGACCCCACTTTATACAATGTGTTTGGGGGGATTTTTTTTTTCATTTTCTTAATACCTGGCAAAATAATCCAGGTGGTGTGTGAATCACCAGTAGAGATTATAAAGTCGGAGGAAGTAGACTCAGCCTTACAAACAGTGGATCTCAGCGAAGGGGGTGCCGCTACGCCCGAACCCGGGGAAGTAAAACTCAGAAGAGAAGACAGCAAACCTCCAAGAACCTCGCTGATGGCGTTTCTCAGACAGATGGTAAGCCACTTACTTCTGGTATAAGAGTACTGGAAACCCAAGTCTGCTTCCGAGAGTAAAGGCCGCATAGCCCAGAGGCGGAGGGTAGGATAGTAACCTGCCATGACGGGGCTGGATAGGAATGGAATGTGAATGGTGCGGTTAGAAAACTACCTTTCTCAGGTGGCACCTGTGGCTCAAAAGGGTAGGCTGCCAGCCCCATATGCCAGAGGTGGTGGGTTCAAACCCAGCCCCAGTCAAAAAAAAAAACTACCTTTTCTGCTTTTGATTTAACCAAGGAGAAAGTCTCATTCTATTGCTAATGTTCTTTAATCCCCTTTTAACCCCTGCTAACTCCCTTTTAAATATAGAACGTGTTGGCCTTGGGTCACATGGGACTAGGGCCATATTGTTTACTTCTAATTGTTTTTATCTTCCAAGTTTGCTTCTATTGGTGGTCAATGCTTTTCTTATTACTGGAATGATATGACATTTCCTTTGACAATACAATTGTTTACATAAAGAATGTAAGATATTTTTGGCTGGGTGCGGTGACTGGAGGCCGATAAGGGAGGATGGCTTGAGGCCAGGAGTTTGAGACTAGCCTGGGCACAAGGTAAGACTTCATTTCTACAAAAAAAAAAAAAAAAAAAATAGAAAGGAAATTATCCAAAGGTGGTGATGAGTGCCTGTAGTACCAGCTACTCAGGAAGCAGAGGAAGAGGATCACTTGAGCCCAAGATTCTGAGCTTGATATGAGCCAGGATTACACCACTGCACTCCAGCCTAGGCGACAGAGCAAGACCTTGTCTCAAAAAAACAAACAAACAAACAAAAAAACGAGAGGGAAGAAAGAAAGAGAAAAACAATACAATTTACATATTGATGTGGCAAAAATTCTGAAAGTGACATTAATGACACAAATTTGTACACAGCTGGCTCGGCGCCTATAGCTCAACCGGCTAAGGCACCAGCCACGTACACCTAAGGTGGCGGGTTCGAATCCCCAGCCTGGACCCGCCAAACAACAATGACGGCTGTAACCAAAAAATAGCCGGGCATTGTGGCGGGTGCCTGTGGTCCCAGCTACTTGGGAGGCGGAGGCAGGAGACTCGCTAGAGCCCAGGAGTTAGAGGTTGCTGGGAGCTGTAATGCCACGGCACTCTACCGGGGGGACAGCTTGAGGCTCTGTCTCAAAAAAAAAAAAAATTTGTACACAGCTGATTTACAGATAATTCATATGAGGAAATGACAACCTCTTGGAGGCCGAAGTGGGCAGATCACTGCCTGAGTTAGAGGGAGACCCCATCTCTAAAAATAGCTGGGCATTAGGATGGGAGCCTGTAGTCCCAGCTACTGGGGAGGCTGAGGCTGGAGGATCACTTGAGCCCAAGTGTTTGAGGTTGCTGTGAGCTGTGAGCCACAGAACTGTACTCAGGGCAACAGAATGAGACTCTGTCTGAAAAAATACAAAAAAAAACAAGAAATGACAACATAACATTCTACTAGTGAATATATATAACTTAGCTGGTGAAATTTGCCATGTTTTTAATTTGTATAGAATAGAAAGAACATGAACAGACATCTTTTGGGTGTTTATAATCAAGTACATTAAACGTCCAAACAGCCATGAACTTAAGTAATAGAATGCCACAAAACCTGAATCAGTTGGAGGATAAAACCCAAAAACCCACGTAAAAGGTCATTGAGTTTAATTCTCTTTTGATGAAAAACAAGAATTTCATTATAGTGCGCTTTTATTTTTAGGAGTATTTAGGAGTTTAATCCTTAGAGAAAGCAACTCTCTAATTTCACCGGCTCAACCTATTAAGGAATTCTTTCTAGTCCCCAAAACAAAACAAATCCTTGCCAGTAGGAGTTGAGGCATAGTAGAAATAATTATGGCAGAAATAGTTGATTGGAATCATTTTCTTCTCTTGTTAGACTCTCGTGAAGTGAAAAGTTTAGAATAAATAGTGGGCCTGCCGCATGGCCTCTACCCTGTCCAGACTGCTGGTCATTTGATCTGTAGTTTGGTGCTGAAAATGGAGATGACGATTTGAGACTTTTTTTAAAACCAATTTTTACATGATGCCAGGAAAGAAAAGAACATTTTGCCTGTTTCTAGCAACTCATCTGACTCATGAATGGGATCCCTAACCAGGTCATCCTAATTTTGAAAGGGGGCAGCTTTTTCATCGCTGTATGGAATAAAGTAACAAATAGAACGACAGTCTTTTCCAAATAACCAAAATGATGCTGCTTCATTTAAAAGGGCAGGGGGAAAGGCTCGGCGCCTGTGACTCAAGTGGCTAAGGCGCCAGCCACATACACCTAAGGTGGCGGGTTCGAATCCAGCCCGGGCCTGCCAGACAACAATGATGCCTGCAACCCCCCCCAAAAAAATAGCCGTGGTTGTGGCGGGCACCTGTGGTCCCAGCTACTTGGGAGGC